CAAAAATAAACAAATAAATAAATAAATGTATTTTAAGGTGAACTGGGCTATAATTCAGTTTGTTTGGAAGAACAAAGTGTTAAAGTATCATGTTCATGACATAGTTAAGCTACAGACACTACTTGGCCAAGAAATTCTAAGCTCTTGGAGGGCCTAATGAAATGGCCCTCTGGAGGGGTCTCCAGGTGCTTACAAATTGTTATTTGCTAATATAACCACCTTCCCTTCCAACAAACATGCTTTAAATATTAAGTACTGTGTAAACAAAAATTTTAAAAAAAAACTTTTTGATAGAGGATATTCAAGATAACTTTATGTACCTTTCCAATACTGGGTAGAAATGCTATTTACCTTTCATCATATAATTAGACACTGAAACAAACACAATACAATCATACAGGCAAATATCTAGTAAAGATTTTATGTCATTATTCTCAAACTAAATTAGGGACTACCACTTAGATTCAGTTTTACCATTAATAATCTTTTTTCTCATACTCTTAACAAAACCTTCTTTGTTTTCTCATCTCCCAACTTTATTCTTTGTCCCTTCTCACATAATAAATTTAAGGTCAAAGTACTAAGGGATCCAACAGATTATTCTAAGTCAATGACCTGTCATTTCATTGTATGAATATTCACTTCACAGATTTAATACAAGAATTTATTATTATTGTGTGTTAAGCAAGATCACACCACCTTCAAAATTAACAGATAATTTTTGAAAATGCCTCTGGTCAAAATAAAAGCATCACACTGCTGCGAAACTGGTAATGAGCCTCTGGTGATCAATCCAAACAGGATCAAAATATTTTAAGTGGAACCACATTCATTTCATTATTTCTGTTTTAAACATATCACAGTGTACTAAGTTTAAAGGTTAGCTTAAGTGTACAAGAATTGCATAAGAAAACAAGGTACGGAATTGTGTCTGACATTAGTAGAGGGACTACCCACACTAAGGAGATCCCAGATCCTTTTTTTAAAAATTTCATTATGTTGCTCCTGTTCAAAAATTTCAATCAACAAAAAGAAGCTATACATACTATATCGGTGGAAAGAACATTTCCTACTGCAAATAGAATGTAGGCTTTTTGAGGACAGTGACTGTTTCTCTTTTATTTTATATCTCCAGCATTTAGCAGACAGCCTATACACAGCTGACACTTGATAAATGCTTCAAAAAGGGGCAGCTAGGTGGCGCAGTGGATAGAGCATCGGCCCTAGATTCAGGAGGACCTGAGTTCAAATCCAGCCTCAGACACATAACACTTACTAGCTGTGTGACCCTGGGCAAGTCACTTAACCCCATTGCTTAGCCTCCCCCAAAAAAATAAATAAATAAATAAAAAATAATAAATGCTTGAAAAAATGAACAAACATTGGGCTTTGTATCAAAAAGCAGGTTCAAGTCCCGACTCCAAAACTTACGTTGTATGATTATTAGCTGTGCCTACTACTGTAGGCAAGTCATTTAATTTCACTTTAGTTTGAGCTTTAGCCTTTTAATCTAAAAGGTAGCAAAATTCACTACTTAACTCACCAGCTAAGCGCTACCTGCCCAGAATAGGAAGCTACAGTCCTTGCCTTAGAGTTTACATTCTAATTGGGAAAGAAATCCAAGCAGTAAAACAAAAATCCTTACAGCGAGGGTGTTAACAATAAATGCTGAAAGAGTTTAGAAAAGGCAGATACAGCCATGGATTAGGACCATTAAGGAAGACTTCCAATCACTTCTCACTGCCTACAGGATAAAATCCTGACATGGTATAACTGCCTCACTCAACCTATTCAATCAACTATTCAATAAAGAAGTTTGGTTTCCTTATTAAGTACTTTAGGCCCTTGCTTTGGCTACACCTTCCTTTCCTTTTCCCCTCTACCTAATCCAAACCATCCCCTCCTTCAGGGCCATTTAAATCTTATTTCCTCTAACAGCAAGGACTGTACATAGTTTATATAATAATATGTTTGCCAAACAGTATAATATAGAAATATCTATGTGTATATATGTATATAATTTAAAGAGATCTATATTTATGTTGGCATACATAATCACGGTATATCTCTATAGATAGAATATATTCTATATCTATCTATCTATCTAGTGGTTATATCTACTAGTTATGCATATATACCATATAATGTACATAGATATACATAGTATATCTATAGCTATATCTAAATAGATACGTAGAAGTCTACATATAGACACATAGCTCTACAACATATGGCACAACCCAAAATGTCACAGGATTTAGTTTGGAAAATGACCGTTGATGGTCTGTTTTGTTCAAATATTACTCTAACACTGATAATTATGCAAACTTAACTACTACTGAATATCCAGGTTGTTTCAAGAACAAGTCACCTCATCAGACATGAAATGAAAAAATTCTTAAGTGACCTGCTGTACAAGAGGGCCTCATATTTAAAAGTTTATAAGGCAAAAGGATGAAAACTCTCTCAACCCAACTGATCAAAATCTTCCTTGCAAATTTCAGAACTGAGGGGTTAAATAAATAATTTGCATATAAAGCAGATGCCTAATTATTATTCTTATTGCTTTTTTCTTTGTACAACTGTCCAGAATTATAGTGAAAAGGGACTGCAACATAAGCAAGAAACAGATTAGTATACCACAGGTAAGCCTCCTACCAGTTTCTCCCAAAGAGATTTTGTCACTTAGGCTGCCTATTTTTGGCAGCCAGTTTGGCACAGGAGCAAGAGAACAGCAGGAACTGCGGCTAAGCAAAGAGAATTGCTAGCGCCCTCCGCCGACTACAGAAGAAAGCCGAGTCAGTGCGCTGCGGGATCAGACTCCATACAAAGAGACCTGGGAAACAGCTGATTGCAAGGCACGTGACTAAACAGGAACCAATCAAAAGACGCCTGAGTAAGGCTTTGAGAACGAGGCTCTAGGACCTCCTACAGCACAACAAATACAGGCAGGAAACAGCTGAGCTAGGCTAGAGCAACACAGCGCAGACTTAGGAGGGGGAGGAGCCGAGGACAGAGCCGCAGGGAAAGCTGGGCTAGGTAGGCAGCCAAGAACAATCAGAAACACACACACACAGATGGGTCCTCCGCCAGCCCCGAACCGCCCCCAAACCTTCCATTAGGTTATGAGACCAAATTTACCTTCAACCTTCTTATAGGGACAGCCACAACTGTCCTCGTATAGTGTGATAAAGCCCTAGTTACTTAAAGAGAAAACTGGTGACCCTGGGGGTCACCCGACACCGGGACACAGCATTTACCCCAGACGAGGCAGTTTGTTTTTTGTCTTTAAAGGCAAGTGGTTGATAAAACCCTGGGGATGCATCTCGATAATATGGAACGTTACAGTTCACAGGAAGAGCAAGGACCTCCAACTTAATTTTTCCAAGACTCTGAACCCATGGTCCTTTACCTAAAGATGGTCAGCATCTCAAAGTGTCAGTGTTGGAAATAGCCGTCTATGATATGGGCTAAGAAAATATAAGAAAACAGACATTAATAAGGCAGTAAAACGAAAAAAGTTGTTGCTGTGTCACGTTGCAGTTTCTACTGTCGTTTTTAAGGGGGAAATGCCTTCCTGTAGGTGGGAGCTTTAGGGGACCTATTCCACTGAAATAAAAACAGACATCTAAGGCTGGGGTGGGGGGGAGTCTGATAACTGTGAGAACAGTGAAACAATTAGGCCTATTCTTTAAATGGAAGAAGGGAAGGGGGTCGGACAGCAGCTGAGGGTAGTAGGCGGGACAGGAAGAGGTCGCTACGGCTGTCTTGTCTAGGTCTTGGGGAGAGTAGTGTGGGGCTGAACGGCAGCTGCAGCTATTGTGCCTTAAGGAAAGGGGGGACCAGTGCAGATACTGCAGAGTAATGGGAGGCTGGCCTGCCGCTGAGCTGAGGGGGAGGGCTGAAGCAGGACTGAGTTGGGGGTTCGGGTTCTGTGAAGAAGGAGCTAAAGCTCTGTTGGAAGCTTGAGCTCTCCGTGAGCTAGGCAAGTAGGGTCAGAGTTGTAGATAGGGGGAAGAAGTGCAAGTGAGTTGTGGCTAAGGGAAGGGAAGTCGAGGCCTAGTAATGGTGGGCTGGGTTGGGAAGGCGGGTCAGGGGAGTCCAGGCTGAGTTGTGGTTGCGGTAGAGGAGGGGGTCTGGTTTGAGTTGTGGCTGGGGGAGGGGAGTAGAGGCCGAGTTGTGACTGGGCTAGGGGGAGGGGGAGCAGCTGAGCTACGTCTGGGAGGGGGGGAGGGGCCCCGGTGGTTGTGCGGGCCTCGCCCGGGCCCGTCTTGTCTCCGTCCCCGCCGTGCTCAGCCTGACACCGCCCCCAGCTCCTCAGCGGGCCTAGAGCGCTTTCTTCCCCGGCTGCTCCTTGCGGCAGCGGCCCCGGAGCCCGCAGGGAAGGGGGAAAGGAGGGCGGACGGCGGCGGCCGCGCAGACCCCGGGAGGTAGTTCCTCCAGTTGAATCCCTGGCCCGGAGCCCTTCCACACCGCCAGGCCCGGCGAGTTCCCCCAGCCTCGGCTCTAGCCCGGCCAGAGGCCCGGACTTACCTCGAGCGGCCTGGCCGTAGCGTAGGTCCGCGGCGGCAGCGGCGGCGGCGGAGGCGGCTGTTGCTTCCTCAGCTGAGGTAAAGCGCCTTCGCCGCCTCCCGTCTCTCGGTTTCTGTCGGGCCCCAACCTTGGCCCCGCCTCCCTGTGGCTAGGCCTTGGGCGTCAATCACGCAACTCGGCCCCGCCCCTCGTCCGTCTGGTCTGCGGGTTGGCCCAGGCCATCTACCCCCGTGGGCCCCGCCCCTCCCCCGGGGCCCCGCCCCTTCCTTAACTATCCTCCCCCCACCCCCCCACCCCCCACCCCCCTGCAGTGAGGCCCACCCCTCCTCTAGCTGTCTCTGGGCGAGCCAGTTCTTCGAGATTTGCCCCGCCCCTGACCCCCTTCTCCCCTACCATCCTAACCAATCCCGACGGCCGGCTCCTCCCCTTCCTCCCGGACAGCCTATGTGGCGCTCTTCAGGAACCACCCACCTCCCAGCTGAGTGCACACAACACAGCGGCCACGTGAATCAGTTTCTTAAAGAGGAAGGCTCCTGGCTGTCTTGGGCAAGTAGGACTTTAGTAGCTGTTAGCGTTGCTGCGGCTGCTTAGGTGAGGGCCAAGGCCTAGAGATTAGGATGGATGAGCACGAAGGAACTTTGGAGAAGGGAAATCTTTTACTGGTGTCAGAGGTAAAAGAAATTGAAGTTACTGTAGTGACTAAAAAGCAAAACAAACAGCTGATGCAGTTTATCTGAGGTCATCTTTTTGACCGAAGTTGAGAAAACTTCCTGGCTGGCTGTTTTGCCTTTGTCACGGCCTAATTTATTTGTGACTCTGCCTTTATTTGAGACTTTGCCTTTGTCACGTGCTTAATTTATTTGAGACTCCGAACCCGGATAATTGCGGGTCAGGCTCGTCCCTCTGCAAAATTATAAAACAAACAGGTCACCCACACTCACGATGTGTCCTGGGAAAGAGAGCGACCCTGGCTTCTGAGGTATCAGTGCTATCAATGTAAATTGGAATGACAACATGTGCATGGGCGTCTTCAGCGAGCTTCCTCGCTGGAGGCCTCCGTGTCGTTATTAATATTGTTTATTTTTTATTATTGTTAACATCTTGTCTTTCTGTTTCCTTAATTAGGACCAGGTGATCTTGTAGCCGGTCACGTAGCTCTAAACCTTATGAATTCGTTGCCAGCTTCAATAACCAACATTCCCAAAAGGTTCTCGGTGCCCACACTGCATTTTACATCCAGAGTAGAAGCTATCCCACATTTTTTTTGCTTCCCAAATAAAAATTTGCTCAGCTGCATAGTTCGGTGTTTGGTACATAGTAGATGTTCAATAAATGTTTGTTGAATTTAATTGAATACTGTCCAGAGTGTCCATCTTTGATCATATTCAATAAATATTTCCTCAGGGCTTCACTAGGGACTTAATTTGCTAATCTATGACAAATTATTTAGGATGAAGGTTTATTTTACCTCTTTCAGAAGAGAATTGCATCTTTAAAAAGAAATGTCCTGGAGCAGGGAGGAATTGATAGCCTTTTTTGTGTCATAGACCACTTTGGCAGTTTGGTGAAGCCCATGGACCCCATCCCAGAATAATGCTTTTAAGTAAATAAAGGAAATACTAAATTTCAGTTAAAAGTTAATGAAGATAAAGATGTCATTTTCCCCTTATTCAAGTTCACAGACTCCCTGAAATCTAAAGATCCTTTGACCCCAAGTTAAGGACCCTTGTGCTTTAACCAAAAGTATGTCCTTATCAAACAACAGCCTTATTCAAGTGCCTATTATGAAAAGAGCCTTAAAGAGATAGTACTTTACAACGTGTAAGACATTTTGCAAACTTATATAAATGTGAGCTATTATCATTATTAATCTTGAAGAGTCTAAGCTCACCCTATTTTAATGCACATTACATTCATTTCAATAAAAATGTTAAATATTAATTCTCTAATTCCTGCCTTCAAGGAGTTTTAAAATCCATTGAGGTTAAAGCATGGGCACTGTACTAATTTGTGCCAGAAAGCCAACTTATTAATTTACAGATGAGGATATTCATTCAATAGAATTTATTAGCATGTGTATAACACTGTACTAGGTACTGTAGAAAGTTAAAAAAAATATGTGGAACAGTTCCTGCCCTCAGGAGCTTAGTGCCCAATTGGATAAACAAGTCAGTCAGACAATTTATAGACATGAAAAGTTAAACAGTATGACTCAAATAACAGAATAAGGAAAGAATAAGAGACATAAAAAGAATACTGACAAACTGAGTTTTATAGACAATAAATATGATGAATTCAAAAGAGAGATATCACTTTGGGTTGGGCCTATCAGGGAAGGCCTATGACCATGTAGTACTGGAGCCAAACTTTTAAGGAAGGCTAAAATTTGAATAGGAGACAGGAAGAAACAGACTCATTACAGATGAAAAACAATTTGACAAGAGGGGCCTTTTGTCCAAGTCCTGACTCTACCATTTACTACCTGTGTGACTTTGAACAAGTCACTTATGTTCTGGGCCTTAGTTTCATCAATATTTAACTCTCTAAGGTCCCTTTACTCTAAATCCTCTTATTCTATGAACTACTCTACATATACATATTTTCCAGTCAAAATAGATTTCTTTTCCCAAACATACTCCAAGTTCTGTTGCCCACTTTGCTTATGTTTCTCCCTCTTCCCAAAATGATGACCTTTCTGCCTGTTGAAATTTACATATCCCTTTCACTCAAATTCAACTCAAGTGCCACATTTTATAAAACTATCTTTGATTCTTCCCTTGCCCCAAAGTGGTAGAATTTTTTTTTTAACATCTATAGCATTTTCTTTATGCTTCTCTTAGGGTGCTTATCACACTCTTCTTTCTTAATAGTCATTTTATATTCTTGTATACTCAAATGGCAAGTGCATTGAGGATAGGGTCAGTACCACACCTTTCGAATAGTAGGGGTTCACTAAACATTAGTTAAAAGAAAGGACTCCATTTCCAGTTTCTCTACTGAGACCACTTAGCTCTGACCAACTGAATTAGCTCCATCCTAAGCCCCGAGACTAGTCCAGACTGTGGACTGAGGAATACACAAGTACATCAGAGTAAAAGAAACCACAAAAAAAGGACAAAAATTGTTTTAGAATAAAAATTCTCGACTAATTGAAATTTGAGGGAATTGAAGCCCAAAGATATAAAGATATAGATAGAAAACATATGTGATATGTAACTTGCCCAAGGTCACAGAGCTTAGACAAAGAAGGACACAGACCTAAGTATCCTATCTCCTACTCTTTTTGCTACCCCATAGCTATCTCATTACTGTTAAAAAAAAAATTAGTCCTTCTAGAAAGCAACATACAATAATAGAATGTTACAAAGAAAATCTATTTCCTTAAGAAACTTTGGTACAATGTCTAGGTGACTAACTATGTGACACAGTCTCCTGTAGGATATGGACTTGTTCCTATAATATATTAACCCTAACCCTACACAGAAACTTGGATGTTTTTATCAGTCTGTTCAACTTATGAGTTTGTTAAAAATCAGACTCATCTTTCCCACTACTTGCTTCTTCGCGATTTCTGTGTGTGTCACTACCATATAATTCATCTTTAAAATCTTATGGCTACTTTAATTCTTCCCTCTCTGTCATTTCATTCATGTTGATTCTGTTATTAAATTCTCTTACTTTCAACTCTCTATCCCTGTAGCTTCTATTTTATGTAAAGCTTCTATTTAGTTGAGAGGTAAGCAATGGCATGGTACATAAAATGTGCTACTTCCACCAAGGATTTGACAACCATTCACATACGTACACACGCAGACCTGCAGACCCACACACCCACACACACCCACAAACACACACACATCCTTCAGAAATCTATACTTTCACTGGTGTAAATACTGCTGGTCTTCAGATGATAGCACAACCCATCACTGGTCCCATATTCAAGGTCTTTCAGTCTTGGTAACATCTGCCACAGAGTCTGCTCCCTTGGCTCAAAAGTCCAGGATAGTCTTCATTGAAAAAGTTGTTTGTAGCTCTTTTCTCACTCCACAAAGTATTTGTGTTGCTTAACTCTTCTCAATGCCTAGGAATGGTAGTCTGCTAAATACTTGGCAGACAGAATTTACACCTTACATCTATTTTAGATAATTACTGGGAAAGGGGCTAACAAAATGGGTTTCAGCTGAACTGTACTATCTTTGCTCTAGATTTATCCTCAGATGTCAAGTGGACACTGACAGTCTTCTACAGATGTTGCATTTTAGCCTGGATGTGACTCTGGATATCTCATGGGTCATTTCACCCAAGGTCTCTGAGGGGAACACCTGCTGCTTTTTTGCAAGATATAGAATAAAAAGCAAAAGGTTTGCATTAATCAATCACAGCTACCCAGCTACAGCTGGGTACCAGCAGTAATGTGTTCATCAGTGTCCTAAATAGCCTATGTTCAAAGCCCACTGATGTCTCAATCCTCTCAATGTCTAAATTCCCCAAGCCTACCAATCACATTGATGGGCCTCTGGCCAGAAGCATCCTGCTGGACATCCTGTCAGTGCTGCCCTCTTATATAAAAAACTCCATCTTAAAAAGAAGTACACCTCTCAGCTGTAATGTGTTGTCCGCTGCCAACCTGAGGGGCTAGGTTAAGGGTATACTCCAAGAATACTGTGCTGGAGAGACTTTTTGTACTTTTGTCCTTCTGTGATCTCTGCTCAGTGAGTATATCAGCCTTCATCAAAACAAATATAAATACTAAATAGATGTTCTAGAGCTGTCTCAGAATGTATAGGTGTGATTTGTCTTAGCAACCTACAGAAAGAATTGTTCTGCCTCAAATGAACTTGGCTTTAGAGCCTGAGAAGAAAACCTATCCCAGACAGTGTAGGCAAGCTGGCAAAGAAAAAGGAAAGAAGGAAGGGAAAGTTCCATACCCAAAGAACATGAAGCTTTAACATGCCAACATTACTGCAATAACATGAAACACCAGACCAACATGCCAACAGCACTAGGTCACTCCAAAACATGCCAATGACACACTAGCAACACACAACTGTCACTCAACATGTCAAAACATACCAACAACATGCTAATGACACACCACCAGCATGCCACTCCAACACACCAACTACATGCTAGCAATATGCCGTCGCTTTGCAAACATGTCACCAAACATGCTAACAACATGGCATTAACACACCGACATGCCACCACTCCAACATACACCAACAACACGGCGATAACACTCCAATAACCTGGCAACAACACTCCAATACACCACCACTCCGTGCATACACCACCAAGCTAACAGCACACGAACAACACATCAATAATGTGCCAACATCATGATACTTCACCAACATGCCAACAACGCAGCAACATTGTGCCAACATCATATGTCACTCCAACAACACACCATCATGATGTCACTCCAATGCACCAACAACATGCTAGTAACACACTAACATCACGTCACTCCAACAATCTGCCTCCAAGACGCCAGCATCACAACGTCACTCCATCAGCAGTAACAGGCCAGCATCACAATGTTATGGCAGTAACACCACTATCCAACATTCAGCTGAAAGCCATTTTATCAGGCTCTTTCCCAATAATCATCGAAAATAAATGTGAGGTCTGAGTAGCTATGACTGACTAATGCAAGCCTGGGGAGGAGGGGGGAGCAATATTCTGTGTCTTATAAGAAAGTGGGAGTTGTTCTCAGAGACCTTTGAGAAAGAGGAGCAATGTAACATGGGCAGGCCCAGCTAGCCCCCCTTGGCTTCTTCTTCACTGGCTGTTTTTGTTGTTGCAGCTTAGGACATGAAACTTAGGGGCCTACAGTGACAGGGAGCTTATGTTCTTCTATGGGGACTCAGCTCATTCACAGGTAAGTACACACAGGGTGTATAGAAAGCAAATAAACATAATATGGGGTGTGTAAGGAATACATTAATCTCACTGACTTGCTAGAAGGCTGAAGGAAGCCTCAGTAAAGCTGGCTTACCCTATCACCTTGTTGTGAGCCCCATGCTTTCTTGTGCTGAGCTACTGATACCTGAAATCTGTGTTGACAGGGAGACAGGGCCACTGACAACTAGGGAAAATCAAGAAAGATCTTGATGTAGGTGGCACTCAAGCTGATCCTTTAAGGAACTTAGTGGTTTCCATGAAAAATTAATTTAAAAATTCAAGAATCTAATTCAAAGAGGAGTTCTTGAAACAAAATTTTCTTTGTCCTAAACCATGAACGTTAGAGCAATGGGGAGTCTTGGGTGGGCAAAGTGTGAATGATAATGCTTAATTATTCCATTTTCCAGGTTCTCCTTCTATGGGTACAGACCACTGGTTTGAG